TAGGTTTGTCCATTTTGTCTTTGTGGCACGGCGATGTTTTGAAAAACGGTTTGGCGCAGCTCTCTTGCAAGTTGCACTCCTGGGTCCTCGGCAGCTCCAAACACGGCACATTGTGGATTTTTCAAGTGTTGCAGAGCTCCTCTCTTGCAAACTGCAAAACAACTTGGTATATGGCAGCCTCAAACAACTCAAGCATTCTGAGCTCTTCGATTGACTGATCGAAACACCGAAAACGGCCGCATTTCGAGGTGTTGAACTGTTCGACATGCTGTCATTTACTGCATGCCATGGTGCCGCAAGGGGTACATTACACGATTAAGTTACACTCTGATCAAGCTTCTTAGCAGCAAGCAGCAAGCAGCATCGACGCTTGAACCACAGCCATGGCACACTTTCTAGGTGTTCGACAGGCTGCGCCGGCTGTCCGACTAGAAACTGCGCATGACTGCATTTCGGGGTGTTCGACCGCTTCAAAAAGCGAAAGTCGCCGCAGCGCTTGAATTGATCCCATGGAGATTTCTGCATTTTGGAGTTACTCAACGAGTACATCTTGATCCGTCCGACATGCCCGATGCTGCACATTACAACATGTTGTAAGATTTTGTGCATTCGACCAGCTCGAGATGCTGCACCTGGCCTATTATTTACTTGATTGTCCTAATCCTTATATCCCTTCCTGGGCCTGAAAGCACTATTCCGAAATCATTCCCCGCCCACTCTCTAAAGTCTGCCAGACTCTCTGCAACGCAGGTCCAGCTCTGACACAGACGGAAGGTTTGTGCTTGTACTGGTAGAACTCCTATTGAACTACAGACTTTCGAACAGGCGCGCCCCTCATGAACTGCAACAGGCCTCAAGCAGCCCTCAGAAGGCCTAACGTGCCTCAAGTGTCCGAAGCCGACTGACACCCTCATATCGGCTCCCAGAACTGAGCTCGTGAATCGTGAACGCAGCACCCAAGGCCTGCAGTAAACTCCCAAAAGTTGGAACATCATTATCCTCATACCCAAACAAGGTGACTAAAAGGGAATCCCAGCTCTAATGGTCCTTAAACCATGTTCCAACGCTATGGAGTTTGCAGCAACCCCAGGCGGCTCCAGTGCCGGCAAGTGGCGCGTAGAACCAGCCGCCTCTCTTTGCCAAAAGCAAGGGGTTGTGGAGCTAGGCCGTTTGGGTTTAGGGCTGCATTCATCTGCCAGCGACTCTATTTTCTACGAGTACTGTGCAACAGTGGGTACCCAGCAATGTCCGCCACTCTCCCGCCTCCACCCCAACATGACTTGGATTCCGACGACAACATGAGGACCGAAAGTTCAAGCTCAAGCCGGCGTACGGAGCCCTGGCTCAGGCTTCGTTGAATCAGAACCCTTCACACTTCAGCGGCGCTAGGAAGCTCGACCCAATGGGATCATCAGCCCGCTGGTTGCGATTGCACCGCTACGTCGGATGCATCGCGCGTGCACGCGTGGGGTCTCGCAGGAGTGCTGGCAAAATCGGCGCGCGCATCGCGTGCAGACGCGGAATGTCCTCCTGCATGGGCGCGCTAGCGTAGCATGGACACATAAGCAAGATGTCATCAGTGTTCGGACATACATGGACTCGGCCACCCCATGCGCTGCAAACATGTGCCAGGCGAAGCACACGGCCCAACAGAAAATCTGAAAAAGCGCACTAAACAGCTCGGAAGGCTCAGGCCTCTCACCCCCCCTTCAAACTTTCAACCCAAACCCGAAGTGCCTCGGCGTGGCGAGCCCCACGCGCTGAGATACCAAAGCACACCCTCAGAGTCGCGGGGTTCTGAGATTTGTCGTGCTTCGTCTTAGCAGCAGGTGAAGTGGGCAGCCATCATCTACAGAATGCCCTTCCGTCATAGCAGTGAGATTGAAACGCCCACCTGCCAAAAAGAGGGTTAAGGGGCAACCGCTTGTTAAAGCTGGAGAAAATTTGCTGTCGGTCAGCAGAAACAAAAAGAAACAGCAGTCGAATGATTCTAGAACGGTGTTGCAAACCGTTTTTTCTTGAACAAATGGAAGCCGGTATATCAGCAGTTTCATCTGTGTTGCAGAATGAATGTCTGTGACTGTTGCCCAAGAACATAAGCCCTCGCTCTGTAGCACCTCAATGGCCTGGACCCTGCATGGACATCATCAACAGAAGCTATGGGGTGCCCCTTCTGAAACCCTGCAGTAGAATACCCAGTCCAACGTGAGTCCAACTTGTCAAAGCTCTCAAGGCCTCAACACCTTGAGCAGAACCGAGGAGGGTTTTGGGTGGGCTGTGGATTTCGGTGTTCTCAAGGGACTAGTGGAGGGACCCTTATCAGGGACCTTGGGGGTCAGTATATAGGGGAACATTCAGGGTCCCTTCTAGGGTTTAGGGTTTAGGGTTTAGGGTTTAGGGTTTAGGGTTTAGGGTTTAGGGTTTAGGGTTTAGGGTTTAGGGTTTAGGGTTTAGGCCCTCCTTATACCGCTGAATGTTCGGGCTTCCGGGTGTTGGGGATGACACCCCCCGATGCCCACAAGGCGCAAGAGACAGGGCGACCAGCTGGCGCAGCAAGCCTGGCAACCCTAAACCCTAAACCCTAAACCCTACACCCTAAATCCTAAACCCTAAACCCTAAACCCTAAACCCTAAACCCTAAACCCTAAACCCTAAACCCTAAGCCGATCAAACTGCGGGCTGCAGGCTCCGGGGCATATTGGCCGAACTCTCTGGCGGGGGTGTTACACGGCGACGTATCGAGGCCTTGGGGCCTTGAGACTTTCAAAATCATGGCCGTGGACGCATGGTTTATGCAGGAGTGCTGCCTGCCCCCAAACCCTTGCTGCATCCAGAGCTTCACCAAGTGTCTTAGAAACTACAGCTGAGGATAGTTTAAGGTATCTCGTGCCTTGGGATGTTCCGGGAAAGCAGAAGCTGTCTCCTAAAGAGTATAGTAGTTTCGGGGGGCGGGGGGCTAAACTTAGGAGCCCTGAGCCGTGTGAACCTCTCACTTCGAAGGCACGGCCGCTACGACACACGCGCAAAATATTGCCGGAGATGCCAGACTTAGAACGAGAAAGGGGCGCCAGCACTTGCAACTGAATGCCAGTTTTTGCTTCAGATGGTGGTCGTGGAACTGCAGCGATGAGGGGAAGCTCGATGGTTTAGTTGCAGCCCCATGGCCTCCGCACCCAAGAAGCCCCCCAAAGACCAAAGCCCAACTTAGGCGCAACCTCTGTCCGAACCCTGGGCTGCGACTCCTTACTGTGACCTGCCCACACACGGCCACGACCCTGCCTTGCAGCAGCGCGTCACGTGAGGCATGAGGATCGAGATCCCACCAGCCTCGAGACTGGGAAGCTTGGGGGCCTGTAGGCCTGCAGTGTAGGCTGGGTTCAGTTTAGTGGGAAGTCTTGCCTGGGTGCAGCATGGTCCGGGGGTGGGGATTTAGGGAGGATGGCGTGTTGCCGCAGGGTCTGGGGTTCGATGGAAGGTCAGAGTCAGGGGCTCAAGTGATGCTGCTTAGATTGAAGGAGCTGACGCTTAAGAGCTTTTGGGTTTGGACACAGGGAGTGCGGTGGTGTAGAGAGGGCGTACAAGAGTATTAGAGTTGGGGTTTGATTTTAGGTGGAATGGCTAAGAAGCCCCAAACCGGGACCGGAGAAGGGATGCCCATTCTTGCCAAGCGGCGGTAACAAAGGCAAAGTCCCAGCAGCAAACTAACCTTGGCCGGCAAAGGCGAGAGCGCGGAGGATAGAGCTGCTACACGTCAAGGCGAAAAACAGGCTTGCCTTTCAGCAGTAAAGCTGACGACCTCGTGTATGATGTGGCTAAGAAGTCAGGGTAGAGACCCGAGGTTCTCTTTTCGACATCACCGTGGGCTGGAAAATTAATCTGCCGGTGTCGGTGTGTGAGCTACACCACGAAAACAGAAACGCAATGCAGGACCCAATCCGAAACCCTGAAAAGCCCCTAGCCGCCTCTAAACTCTGAGCCTCACCAGTTACGTCACACGGCTAGCTTAACCAGCTCTCATCTAAAACCCAAGGTCTCGAGTTGCTACCAAGACAGCTCTAAGGCTTGGGCTGCCCACCAGGATATGATGCTCAGGGCCTCGGGCGTGATCTGCAATGTTTAAGTCCAAAGCTGCACGCAAGAAGGTTAGAACCCGAACAGGTAGGACTCAGGTGTCGAAGGCAGCTTGAAGGGCACTCGGGGTGTCCAGGGTTCAGATCAACAGTAAAGCCAAGGTTTCGAGCGAAAGCATGCCAAAGAAACACCCCACGTATATACGCTGCCGGAATGGCCTCCTTCCTGAGCCCTCAAGCCTTCACCGTTGCGGTGTGGCATGACTGAGGCTCAGAGTGGAGGTTTTTCCATGTTCCCACACCCACAAAACCGAATTAAGCCCGAGCCGATTATCGTGTAAAACATGGCCAAAACTCAAGCCGCTTGACTCCCATCTTAAAGCCCCTAAACCTACAAGTTGACAACGACTTTGTTTCACATCGTGCGCGTATAGTGTGCCTACTGTTTCGGCCTGTCTTGTGGATGGTCTCACGCAGCTGGGCATTAACTCCAGCAGTTCTCATGTTCAGATTTGCAAGACATGTTTGTGCGAACCTAGGCTTTAGGTCCTCAAAGCGCCCTGAGGAGCTGGGGTCACGTAGGCCTTGCTCGGTTGATTGGTACTGGCATGTGCGTCGCAGACATGATGAATCTCGAGCGTTGGGAAAAAACTCCTCGGTCAGATGCATCAGAAATTTTCAGGGAGCCGTACTAGTCCCACCAGCCCGCATCCACAACGGAAAAACGAAGTGTCCAGTCCACGTAGAGGTAGTCGTCATTGACAATAACAATTCCTGCCTGCATAAAATTGGAACCACAGCCTCATTCCATGACGCCAGGGGAGCATAAATGCCTAAGCAAGAAGGGGGACCATGCCCCGGATTTTCAACCCGAGCCCCCGAAATCACCCCAAACCCGTGGCCCGTAGCTGCCATTGGCTGCTAAACTACTCAGACCGCCAGGCCCCGGGCGACCAACTGAACCCAGTCGGCAGGGCCCCCATTGCGGAATGACTCGACGACGTCTAGGTGAACAGGCCAACCATCCTCCTGCGCCCAGGGCGCCATGACACTGTAGGGTGGTATGCGTTGGGCTGCGTAGGGGCGTTGGGTTACTTCAGCGGCTCTACGAGACGTAGTTTGAGTGCTGAGTGTTCTGAGTTGCTTCAGCTTTAGGGTTTGCGTGGTCGTTTCTTTCGGCTAGAGACCTTGTAGCGTGGTAGGGGTTGTGGGTTGGGACTTGGCGGCTTGAAGCCTGTAGGGTGTAAGATAAAGTTTCAAGCCAGGGCACGTAGACAACCATCTCGGAGACGTTGCAGGGCGCGATTTCAGCATAGTCTCGGCAGACAACCTGCCACAGTCTCAGTTCTGGCGGCAAGGACCCGATACCCTGCGAGGCCTCGCCTCCTCCCGAAGCTTGCTGACTCAAAAACCCTAAACCCTAAACCCGAAACCCTAGAAAAGCACACCTTCTGGTTCTTTCCTGCCGGCTAGTTTGAGTGTGGCTTTGTTGGAGACCCAGGTTGCAAAAAACGGCTGGTTGGCCGTTGGGTTTCGTGAGGTGCGGTTTGCAAAGGTTCCGTGTTTCCAGTTACTGAGTTAGGCATCGGATTCAGGGTGAAGCTGAGGCGTTCCGAGGCTTAAGGATTAGGTCCAGAACCGAGCAAGTTCAGGTTTAGTGTTAAGGGCTCGGGACATTCCAGGCTGTCCTCGTGATGAGTGTTAGGAGAGGCGAAACAGAAAAACAAGTACGAATAATCATATTCATCTTGATCATCATAACGATGATGATGATGATGATGATGATGATGATGGTGATGATGATAATGATGATGAGAATGGTATTGTTCGGGTTGCGATGTCAATTCTGCCTGTATTATTAGCCTACGGTCCCCAACAGCCCTCAAGCTTACTGCCAAGAATCTGCTCCGCCGAAATAAAGAGGCTGGAACCCAGATGCCCACATCCCGCGCCTCCGTCTGGAGGATGTTGAAAGAGAGTCTGTTCCAGTCCTGACGTTCCAGGGTGTCGGGCTTCAGGTTAGATATCGGGTCTCGTTATGTGCTGTGCGCATGAAGGGTGGCCAAGGCTTGGGTACCCACATGCATCCATGGCCCTGTGCAGCCCGGGATGTATCCAGATGGGGCTTGCAGGCTGTGCCCCCGTAGTGGGCGGTGTTGAAGGTTGTAGCTCAGGACTTGGACTCGGTGGTCGCTAGGTAGTCAAACCATGCTATCCGTGTTTCAGGGCTCAAAGACAAAACCATCTCGCCGCGCGAACCCGAAATCTCAAAACAAAGTGACCGCAAGGCTAGAAGTGTGAGACCTCGCACGAGTGACCCTAAACCCTAAACCCTAAACCTTAAACCCTAAACCCTAAACCCTAAACCCTGAACCCTGAACCCTAACCCCCGACTTGGCCTGGATGGCTTCATTTCGTTGGGGGGGACTCTCCGGAGCCCGCCCTTGGTGGCCCAGCAACCATATTATCATAGCCCTAAACCCTAAACCCTAAACCCTAAACCCTAAACCCAACAAGCCTTCCAACCCCACATCCATTCTCGAGGGTCGATGCGCTGGGCTTCTTCGGGGAAGGGACATGCCTTGCACCTCTGCTTCAAGCTTTCAATCGCTTTGGGGTTCGGGAACTGCTGAGGGTTTTCTTTTGGGGGCCCTGAAGCCTTACCCTAAACCCTAAACCCTAAACCCTAAACCCTTAACAGCTCCGAGCAGCTTCTACCGGCGCCAGGTCACCCTTCAGCACGCAGGTCTCTGCGTTCCTCTGCGGCGGCTCAGAAGGTGATGGTTTGGGATTCTTTACAGGGTTTTGGGTTTAGGGTTTAGGGTTTATGGTTTAGGGTTTAGGGTTTACGGTTTTGGGTTTAGGGTTTAGGGTTTTGGGTAAGGGTTTAGGGTTTAGGGTTTAGGGTTCTTGAGGGAGGGGGGGGGGTTCCTACCCCCCCTTGAACCCCCACCCTATAAACTCTAGTCGTGAGGAGTGCATGTCGGCAATTTTCTCCAACAGCTGAAGTAGAAATGGGCCATACGAGTCATAGTCTACGGTCTCAGTGTGTGCCGAAGAGCCAACTCCCAAGACCGGAAATCGGCTGCCTTACTGCCTTGGTGTTTGCTTTGTTTTTTGTTCTTGCTTTCTTTCTCTCTCTCACTTATTTCTCTTATTGTTGGTCTTATTATTGGCCTTATTCTTCTTCGTGTTCTTTTTATTATTATTCTCTTCTTCTTATTCTCCTTCTTCTTCTTCTCCTTCCTCTCCTTCTTCTCCTTCTTCTCCTTCTTCTCCTTCTTCTCCTTCTTCTCCTTCTTCTCCTTCTTCTCCTTCTTCTCCTTCTTCTTCTCCTCCTTCTCCTTCTTCTCCTTCTTCTCCTTCTGCTTCTCTCTCCCTCCGGGGGGAGAGCCTATTAGAATAAGGTTTTGGGGGTTACTATAGTGTTACAAAGGGACCGTAAGGGAATACCATTCGTAATTATTCCGAGCCCCATATTACTAGCGCTAAAGACATTATGCTGCAGAGGTGCCCGAGGAGGATGTCCTCCTCGGGGTAGCAGGTCACCGAAACGGCGAGGCTGTCCTTTTGGAGAGGCGATGGGTTTGATTACCCTAAACCCTAAACCCTAAACAGAGGTGGTCAAGCTTGGTCGAGACGTGCAGGGTTCGGCCGGCATAAGAAGATCGAGGTTTTAGCGAGGGTTTTAACTCAGCTTCGGATTTCCGGCCATGGATGGTGCAAAGAGATGCGGTTGAAGGATGGAAGCTTTCAGACGAGGTTTAAGGGGACACTCAGGCAGTCGAATCCCTTCGACCCCGAATGTGTGCGGGATTCGGGTTGAAGAGGGTATGGAAAGCTCCACCGTGCCTAAAGCTCGTCGGATCCATGAGCATTCGGGCCCGGTTAAGCCCTCAGCCAGCCTCCAGGGTGGCGTTGTCCGTGAGGTTGCTGTCGTTGCTGCCGTTGCTGTCGCTCCCATCGCTGATCTCATCCGAGGCATTCTGGGATGTTGTCCTGCTTTGGAGGAGTGCCACCAAAACCCTTGAAACCCTTGGCCTCAGTCCCGTAGTCCTAAACTTCAACTTAAACTCCATACTCTTCGAAGATAGAACCTCTTGGTGTGCTGGAACAACACGTTTCTCTTCTCTTGCGCACATTGCGCGTGTGGTTCCTTCTCGGTGGTGTGGTTGCAGTTTCGGGTTTGGGGGGGAAGTGGATTTAGGTTCAGGGCCAAGCGTAGGTTCATTCGGCTTGGGGTTTGGGTTTTACGGTTCGTGTAGCAGAGAGTAGGGTTTAGGGCGTCTTTGCCTACGATTTGGGACTTTTGTACCCCACGCCCAGGAAGCCTGGAGGCCCAAGAGGCCCCAAGGGCGCCCAAAAGGCAGCAGCCACTAAGACATCTGGGGCTTGGGAGGGTTCAGGGCCCAGACTCTGTAAAGACTGGTTTGTGTTTCCACATTTGCCACCTTGTGTCGAAGCCTGACTCTGTGCACGATGCTTGTGATGAGAGGCATCTCATGTCGGCCTTCCCGTTAAAAGCATACACAGGGTCATGGGCATCCTCCCCTAAACCCCTAAACCCCTAAACCCCTAAACCCCTAAACCCCTAAACCCCTAAACCCCTAAACCCCTAAACCCCTAAACCCCTAAACCCCTAAACCCTAAAACCCCTAAACCCCTAAACCCCTAAACCCTAAACCCCTAAACCCCTAAACCCCTAAACCCTAAACCCCTAAACCCCTAAACCCCTAAACCCCTAAACCCCTAAACCCCTAAACCCCTAAACCCCTAAACCCCTAAACCCCTAAACCCCTAAACCCAACTCATTGGGTATAGCCTTGAAACTCAAAACCCCTGCAACCTGGAACGCAGAAAGGATCCTCAGCCCCGGCAGCAGGAGATTTAGAGCTCCAACAAATCCTAGCTCCTAAATCCCTGACACGGCACTTAGGCTTATAAGGGGGTTATAAGTACAGTTATATATTTGGTGTATAAGTACCACGAACCTCCAAGTGGGTCTTGCAACCTGAATCCAAGTTCTTCGGGGGGGCTCCCCTGTCCCGACGAAGAGCCCCAGGAGCAGCAGAACACAGTGGCCGCGCATGGCTCCCCGGCCATTCCGGGACCAGCGGCGCGGCAGCAGGACACCGCCACAGCAGCGGAAGGGGCTTGCCGACTTTTGTTCGGAGGGGGGGGGGGCAAGGTTATGGGGTTAGGGTTGGCTTGGGCTTTTTTCGGTTGTTCAGGTTGCTGTTTTCGGAGGCTTGTAGCAGTGGTGTGGACTCAATCTAAGGGTCGTTATCTGGGCCCTTCGTATTGTTCCCTTACCTTCTGTAAAGGGTTCTAAAGTATTGGCCCTTTGCTTTTACAATTAAGGGCCCCCTGGTAAAACCCATTAGCTACCCTCAGACTCAAGGGAACCCAAGTGAAGTTATACCCCAACGACTTGGGTTTAGGGCGTAGGGTTTAGGGTTTAGGGTTTAGGGTTTAGGGTTTAGGGTTTAGGGTTTAGGGTTTAGGGTTTAGGGTTTAGGGTTTAGGGTTTAGGGTTCAGGGCAGGAGTCGCAGTTTGGTGTTGACCATCGGGGCCCCAGTTCGTTGCAAGGTGGGATGCTTGCCTCGATTCTTGGAGAAACGGTTCGTGTACAGTAGCTGTAAGACGGCCGCAGAATGGGACGCGCTCATGTATCGTCTGTGTCGTCGCAGCCTACTTGCAGACATGGATGTATTTGGCCAAAACATGTTCTGCGGGCTTCTTCGCAACTACTCTCACACTTTCGTAGAACGATGTTTTCTTCTGCAACTTCGAAGCCCCCCACACACACACACACACACACACACACAGACACACACACACACACACACACAAACCCCAGAGCTCGGCATGAACCCCTTATTCTAACAGTCCTTGATAGGGATTTAAGGACTGTTAGTATAAGGTGGAACATCCCAATCCCAAGCCCCTGAACCATAATGCCATAGAGTCCAGGGTGAGTGAGGGCAGTCGGCTACCTGGGTTTAGGGTTTAGGGTTTAGGGTTAGGGTTTAGGGTTTAGGGTTTAGGGTTTAGGGTTTAGGGTTTAGGGTTTAGGGTTTAGGGTTTAGGGTTTAGGGTTTAGGGTTTAGGGTTTTGGGGTTTTGGGTTTAGGGTTAGGGTTTAGGGTTTAGGGTTTACGGTTTAGGGTTTAGGGTTTAGTAGGGTTGAGGGGGTTTAGGGTTTAGGGTTTAGGGTTTAGGGTTTAGGGTTTAGGGTTTAGGGTTTAGGGTTTAGGGTTTAGGGTTTAGGGTTTAGGGTTTAGGGTTTAGGGTTTAGGGTATAGAAGGGAAGCTCGCTGGTGCTTAAAGCACCCGGGCCGCTCGCTTGCGTTAGCATGTAGTCCCACCCCAACCACCCAAACTATTCTCATTTAGGGTTTAGGGTTCACCCCCCAAACCCCCCTCAAGGGGGGCTTTCTTGCTTTTGACAGAGAAAGAGCAGGGTGGGGCCTCCCGAGCTTTGTGGAGCCTGTCAGCGGCTCGAGGCTTCTTGGAGCTTTCACGAAACTGGAGGGGTGCCCAAAACCGTCAAATGTTCAGTGCGGGTCTTGGCAAACCCCGACCCACGCAGCCCAAAACGCTGGGGGGAAGCAGGGGCCTCGCCCCTGCTTACCCCTCGAAATCAAGACCCAGGCTGAGGGGCGTCCAGAAAGGCGGTCGCAGGGGTGTCCCAAGAAGACGCCCTCCTTAGAACAAGCAGCACTCTGCCCCAAGGAAGGTCAGTTTAGGGGTCCCTCAAGGCCCAGGAAGGTCCCGGGGGTCCCAGGTGTTCCCAGGAAGGTCCCAGGGAGGTCTCCCAAGAGGTCCACAGGTGGCTCTCAGGGGGGGTCCCAGGAGTGCCAGGGAGGTCCCAGGGCGTCCCAGGGGAGTCCCAGGGGTCCCCTACACCAGCCCAAAAGGAAAGGGGTCCCTGGAATCTGCCAGCTCAGGGCCCGGAATTGCCCCGGGGGTACCCCCCCGGACCCCGTTCTGTAGAGACGCTCGGTCGGGGACTTAGTGGGAGCCTCGCGCGCCCATGTAAATGGACAGCGGCGCTCTCGGCAGATTGGCCGGCCCCTGCTTACGCGTCAAAATCAAGACCCAGGCTGAGGGGGGTCCAGAAAGGCGGTCGCAGGGGGGTCCCAAAAAGTCTGCTCGGCGGTCCGGCAAACGCCGCCCTATGCCACGAAGAAGGTCAGTTTAGGGGTCCAGGGAGGTCCCTGAGGGCCCAGAAAGGTCCCAGGGGTCCCAGGAGGGTCCAGGGGGTCCTCTGGGACGCCCCTGGGACCTCCCGTGGGGAGCCCTAGACCTTCTGCACCCCCCCCCCTGAAACCCTTTGGAGGAGCCCCTGGGACCCCTTTCTGCACTGCTGGGAACCCTGCAACCTTCTCCTGGAACCCCCCTCCTGAGAGCCCCTTCCTGGGACCCCCCTTCTGGGACCCCTCCTGGCACCCCCCCTGCTGGGGCCCCCCCCTTTCAGCCCCCTGCTGCAACCCCCTCCCTGGTATCCGGGACCCCCTTCACACCTATCTGGGGTCCCAGGGGGGTCCCAGGGGGGGTCCCAGGGGTTCCGTTTCGGGGTGTTTTCTGCATCAAAAAAGCGTTTTTTTGCAGGTTGCCCCCTACACCAGCCCAGAAGGAGGGGGGGTCCCTGGAATCTGCCAGCTCAGGGCCCGGAATTGTTTCGGGGGTACCCCCCCGGACCCCCCCAAAAAACACCAAAACACCTCAATGGGTCCTAATTATATTAGGGCTTTCTGAGGCGTAGCCAGGCACTGCAGGCCTCCTCTACCGGGAGGCTTCACCCTCCCTCACCGTTCTGTAGAGACGCTCGGTCGGGGACCTCGGTCGGAGCCTCGCGCGCCCATGTAAATGGACAGCGGCGCTCTCGGCAGTTTAGGGTTTAGGGTTTAGGGTTTAGGGTTTCGGGTTTAGGGTTTAGGGTTTAGGGTTTAGGGTTTAGGGTTTAGGGTTTAGGGTTTAGGGTTTAGGGTTTAGGGTTTAGGGTTTAGGGTTTAGGGTTTAGGGTTTAGGGTTTAGGGTTCCGGGTTTAGGGTTCCGGGTTTAGGGTTTAGGGTTTAGGGTTTAGGGTTTAGGGTTCCGCAAGCTTGGCGGGCTTAGGGCTTGGAACTCTGGGCTCCCAAAGTCTCTCCTTGAGGAGGAAGAAGTGCTGCCTAAGCTGCGAGACCAGATGTATAAGGCCCTTTCGGGGCAGAAGGTTTAGGGTTTAGGGTTTAGGGCTTAGGGCGTAGGGTGTAGGGTTTAGGGGTAGAAGGCCATCATGTGACGCTATGATCTGACAGAATCTCTTCAGCACCAAGTGCCCAATTAGCATCTCCTGAGGCCACCATCTCTGTTGAGACTAGACACTGCCAGCTGCAACCTCTTCAAAAGTCACCAAGCTCGGCAGGCCCGGTGCTGAAGAAACTCTCCCCCGGAAGTCTGGGCGGGCTTCTCCCTCCATGTCCACAACTATCCCATCTGCCGACCCCTTCTACCTCCCAACCGCCCAAGAAAAAATCCAAGCCCCGAAAATGGGAGCCTCAGAAACTGCCGAGACTCCCCCCCCGGAAAGATCGCAACACCCCAAGAGCCCCTCAGCCCCTAAACCCTAAACCCCTAAACCCTAAACCCTAAACCCTAAACCCTAAACCCCTAAACCCTAAACCCTAAACCCTAAACCCTAAACCCCTACAACCTAAACCCTAAACCCTCTTCTTCGCGACGGGAGGCTGCCACTGCCAGCAAACGCCTGCACCTGCGGCCTTTGGCTGAACTCGCCGTTGCCTCCGTTCGGGCGTGGGGTGTTGCAAGGACTTCTCGCCGGTAAGCAAAGGCTTTGAGGAGCTGACACAGAAGTTTCCTAGCATCAAGAGCCCCCTTGTTAAACCCTAAACCGCCCCCACACATACAGACTCAGCTGCCTGGAGCCCTCCAGACCGAAGCCCAATGCCCTGCACAGCCCTAGATGCATTTTGGAACGCAAAGTGTTCCAACCGAGTGCTGCCATCTTATCTTCAGCAAATCTTGGCAAGCCTGAAGCTTTCTGACCGACACCACCGTAGAGGCCAACCCGCCCCACCCCCCACCCCCCCCCCCCACAAAAAGGCAATCATAGCAATAATCATAATTTAAAAAACTAATAAGAAGAAGAAGAAGAATAAGAACAAGAACAAGAATAAGAATAAGAATAAGACTAATCAAAATAATCATAACAACAACTCTCGATGCGCAAACACATGTAAACACTGGGCACGCGGGCAGCTCCAGAAAGCCAAAGCGGGTTGTCTCCGACCCAGAGAGCAGCCTTTTGGTAGGGCTTGCAGCGGGCGTCCGTTAGGGTTTAGGGTTTAGGTGTTAGGGTGTTATGGTGTCAGGGTGTCAGGGTGTCAGGGTGTCAGGGTGTTAGGGTGTTAGGGTGTTAGGGTGTTAGGGTGTTAGGGTGTTAGGGTGTTAGGGTGTTAGGGTTTTAGGGTTTTAGGGTTTAGGGTTTAGGGTTCAGGGTTCAGGGTTTAGGGGGGGCTTTGGGTCGGGTTCTAGCGTGCCTTGGAAGCTTCTCGAGGTGGACGATACTGTAGACTTCTTTTGGAAACTACTGAGTCTTCGAAAGGCATCCCTCCCGCATGCACTACCAACAAAAGCCTCACCTCAGTCCAGAACCCCCAGCCAGGAATCCCAGGAATTTCCAGGAATTCAAGCAACCCCAAGAACCCGAAGCGCGAAGCCCTGCCTGCAGCCCCTTCACTCACCATTCAGGCACGTGCTCTGTGGAGAGGCTAGACACATCCAAAAGCCCAAAGCCGGAAAGCAAAGCTGCCTGCCCCCCCCCCCCCCCCCCCAAGACCCTCACCTTCAAACCTTCGAGCCTGCAAACTCCTAGCCGCAAGATGCCACCAGCACCCTGGAAACTCCAAGTTTAGGGTTTAGGGTTTAGGGTTTAGGGTTTAGGGTTTAGGGTTTAGGGTTTAGGGTTTAGGGTTTAGGGTTTAGGGTGTAGGGTTTAGGGTTAGGGTTTAGGGTTTGGGGTTTAGGGGTCCCCTGAGTGAAGCAATGCCGCTCAGCCGCAGCGAAGCCGGGGCCCGGGGCAGC